CTGACCAGGGGAAGAAAGGACTGGTGTAGATTTCCACTGCAGTGGAAGCAAAGCTTGTGGCTAGTTTTCTAAAAAGTGCTTAAATCATCAATATCCCAATTTTGCAGTGCACAGGGCCAGACAAACTTTAGTGTTTTTCCTGGTGGACCATGACTGGGAAAACAAAACAAACAAACAAACAAAAAACACCAGAAAAAAAGGAAAAGGAAAAAAAAGCCCAGCGGGGTGAGCTAAAATCTGCTCCTTTGGCTATTATCTCCGTGAACTTCAGAGTATATTAGGATCCAGGATTCTGCTTTAAAACTCAGTATCATTAGCAGATGTGACTTCACCCTGTGTAGCACACTGGAGAAGCTGGTTAGCAAGTCCTGAATGGAATCACTGGTTTGTTAAGTCAAAATGAAGAATATTAACACAGCTCACCAACACCTATTCAGAAAATATTAAGCAGTGGCACAGCAAGCAGCAAAGATGTAAGAGCTCATCTTTAATAAGCATATGTAGAAGCCACTGTTATACTGAGACGTCCAAGTTTGTCCATAGGAGCCTGCTCACCAGCATATATTCAGGGGCTCTAGGATTCTTATAAAACGAGGTGTTTCCTGAAATCTGACTAAATTTAATAAGTTTCTTTATTAATTTTCACCTTTTATACTCCACCTTCCTTGTTTTCTTTTAGGTAATTGCTAAGAAATCTAGTTGAACTATCTTAACTCTATTTTATTTAACTCCAATTTGAATTCATTTTCTGTGTGAAACACATACACTAAGATTTCAGTCACTGGTCTGTTGAAAGCATGCAGATTAGTTACCTGAGTCTTCCGAAAGCACTGGCATGGCTTTGTTCTTAATCTTAGAGACAAATGTTCAACTTAAATCAACACGATTGTTTCTTCTTTCTGGACTGCGATTCAGAGGCAGTCCTGAAATGAGCAAAGATAATACCTAAGCTCAAGCACGCGAGAAAACTGGCAATCATGTAAAAACAGTAAATACCTAGTACATGTTTCTCTCAAGTTCAGTTTAACCTGAACCAGGCAGAGTTCTGCAGTTATTCTGCTACGCAAGTAACAACATGAAAAATATTATGTTATATAATAACCATACAGTATCTTGGATAAAGCTGATGCTGACTGAAGACAGCACATGCTTCCCTATTCTATTCTCAAGACAGACAGTTTCAGAAGGCCTAAGTAACCTGTTTGAAGAAACAAAAAAGAAAAACAGCATGCTGCAGAGTGGATGTCTAAAAGCACCAATAAACACCATTTGCACAGAAAGAGAGAGAGCATGCAGGAATATGCTGTTGAAACAAGATGTTCTGGGACTTCCTAAAAGCACACCTCAAAGCAATCTACATCCCCCTGGCATTCTGATGCAGGCCACGCCGCAACTACATGCAACTCATCAAAGCTATTAGGAGTGTCACTTCATCAACCTTGGTCATGGTTGCTAAAGAGAGTAAGACTACTTCCATTGCTCAAAAATTCCATTAGATGCTTTTATTGCTGATTTTTCTTGTCACTGAGAGCAAATGGCTCCGGAGCAATTTAATTTCAAACTGCAAAACTGCATCTATGCTTATAATCCAGTCTAAGATGAAACACTTTCTGTGCCAGGGCATTTAAAATCTCATTCATGCTCATAAAATTCAGACTAATGCTTGCAGAAAAATAAACAGTCATAACAGCACATAAAAAGGGTTAGAAAGAAATGTGGGATACTCCAACTCTTTGCTAAATGCAATAAAAGATGCTCCTTGTGTTTCTATTTGTAGATAAATTTCTGGTATTTTGATCGCATGACACAAGTTTGATGGTTTTCTAATTCAACTTTATTTTGATTAGCTGCCTGACAATACCTTATTACTGCATGACAAATTAGCATATACCAGTTTAGCATTTGCTAAGTTCCCAAGTTTCTCTACAATGTACTGAAATATTACGCTCAATAGTCACCTGTGTTTCACACCCATTATTTTCTACTGCTATGCTTAATTAGTCCACCTGGGTATCAAAACATAACTGAGTTCTCTAAGCAAGTGAACTGAAAGTCTTGAAATTTGACTCTAATCCATGGATCGTACTCAAGTGTATTACATATACTACACATTTATTTAATTAACTTTCAAAAGCTTTTTTTATTACCTACTGCCCTGAAGAAATAAACACCCACACACACACTTCATGCCAAAAGAAATGTATAGGCAATGCATTCAACTGCTCTGGTTCCGTGACTACTGCTTTTCATTTGACATGTATTTAAAAATCTTCTCTAGTTATCAGGCAAGGGAACTTTAATTGCATGTTCTGTCTTTGTAAGAATATGTGCTTCCCACAGTCAAAGTTACTTCACACCAAAACCAAAGAAAACCCAAGTTATCTTCCAGACTTTTAGCGAAAAAGCATCCTACATGGGAATCTGGAAAATACACATTTTAACATCTCAAAAACCTGACATCAAACTCAGGAGGCACCAGAATTAGGCGAGTTAGGCACAGCTATAAAAATGGAGACTGTAAAAAAAATCTGTTCTGTAAAAATCCTGTTAGCCAGGACTGATCGGAATGAACAGTCAAAAGAACAAAAAGCATTCCCTATCCTTCACCAGCACGCTCCACATCAATACTCAGGGGTAGCTTCAAGGTAGTAAATTCAGGCCCAGCATGTGATATTTTGCAAGAGCGGCTCAAAACCATGAATCTGTCCTTTCATCATTGTAGTAAGAATAGGCTCAAATACACTTTTCCTCTTTAAAAATATCTACCCTAAACCATAATTCATTTTCCACACATACCCCTGCCCAGCTGCTCCTGAGACAGATGTTTGAGCCACCTTCCTTGCCTAGGAAAAGGACTGTTGATATTCGGAAAGGGCTAAATATACTGAACTGATGCTGTAGCTGGGATCAAAGGGGATTAAACGTAAGCACAGTGTGCTTTGACATATCCCCATTACCTTGCAAAATAAACCCAGTGTGGTTCACAGCCTAATAGAACATAAAGCTTCTGTAATCCAGATATATCGGTCAAAGAAGTAGAAGATCTCATTTCAGAAAGCAGTTGCATTTCAACATCTTTCCAGGAGATCACCCCAGCGATTAGGTCAGAAAATGCATCTGCACGCTCGTAAGAGCACAGCCGGCAGCTATGACACAGGCTTTCTCCTCACTTTGCTTTTGTACACAAAAACTGTCCAAATCTGACCAACACGCCTTTCCCCGGGTCCTATGCCCACTCAGCACGGAAGAGCTGCTGCTCTGACGGCCGAAGCTCGGAGAAGACCGCACACGGTTCCCTGCCCGCCACCACGGAGACAGGCTCTTCCTCCGAGCCTCGCAAAGCGCGCCCAGCGCCACGGCCCTGCGCTCGGGGTCGGCGGTGCGGGCTCAGCCGGGCGCCCCTCAGGCGCCCCTCAGGCTCCGTGGAACCCGAGGGGCGGAGCACGGCCAGGCGGACCCGCTCCCCCGGCACCGCCGGGCAGGACTCTCCCGCTCCGGAGACAGCTTTCC